GCTAGAGGGGCTGCGACAGGCCCCAGTGAGCCCCCCGGAGCAGCAGGAGCTGGAGCGGCTGTGGGTGCTCTTCCTCTCTGCCCTGGAGCTCTTCCTGCAGGACCTGTACAGAGCCCAGCACCTCTGCCAGCTCTTCTCTGTGAAAGGAGGTGGTATTGCCCCACTGCACACTGGGCTGGGGGGCTGGGGGCTGCCCAGCCGGCGAGGAGGGGGTCCCACACAGCCCCCACCCACCCAGTGCTTAGAGGAGGAGATCGAGCAGGTGAGGGCCACGCTGGCAGAGATGGAGAGCGGAGCCAACATTCCACCATGGACAGTGGAAGCCACGGAGACCACACCGCCAGCAGAGACAAGCGGCACCACAGAGAGAGCAGCCTGGGGAGGGCCCTGTGCTGGGCACTGCTGTGGGGTGCTGTGAGCTAGGGGGGCTAGGGGATAGCAGCAGAGGTGGCATCCCTGTCACAGAGCAGGGGACAGAGGCCCTATGTGTACCTACAGTCCTCAACCCCTGCCTTTGCAGGTGATGGTGGGGGCTGCTACCACCCTGCAGAAGGAATGGGACCACTCCAGGCCTCCAAATATTGATAAAGCTCATGTTACCCCACAGAGATCAGTGTCCCTTCCACCCTCCCTGCCCACATTCGCATAGGGGCCTCTGGACACTCAGGGTGAATAGAATCCCTTACAGAAGTTATAAATGTGCATTTATTTATACATTAACCGTGGCTCGGACTGCAACATTAATTTAAAAACAGCCTATGATACAGAACACAGGGGACAGCTGGGAGGGAGGGGGTATATTGGGGGGTGGTGACGGTCAGGTCTCCTGGCTCTTGGTCTGCTTGTTGTACGTCTCCCGCACATACTTCTTGTAGGCTGAGGAGAGAGAGAGAGGAACGTGATGTCAAGGGTCCTGAGGCAGCAGCCAGGGCAGCTGTGGGGCCAGACAGGCACTGGGGGCTGTGCTACTGCCTGTCCCACTGGGGAGGGGGCAGGAGGGATCTGCTTCAGCCACTCACCGACTTGGTTCTTCCAGAGTTCAGCGGCATGTGTGTTCAGAGGGCTCTCGATGTTTGGCTCTGGAAACAGTGACTGGGTTAGCTGGTGTAGGGTGACCTGGACACCCTTGAGCCCTGATCTGGGTTGGAGATCCCCACCACCACCACCACCACCATCACCCCTTCCCCCAACACTCCACTGGAGCAGCAGTTTGCCCACTAGACCCACCTGCCAGCAGGCTCTGTATGGAGAGCAGGATGGTGCGGACATCATACAGTGCCGACCATTTTTCCTTGAGGATGTCGAGGCAGATATTGCCCTGGGTGTCGACGTTGGGGTGGTAGCAGGGGGTCAGGAACCGCACGGTGGGTGCTGTGTAGGGATACCCGCTGGGGAACTCCAGCGACAACTTGTACCGCAGCTCCTCATAGGCCTGGGGGTGGGAGTCGAGGGGGACAGGAGTCAGGAGGGGCTGTAGCCCCAGAGATGGGGGAAAGCGTTAAGGCAAAAGAGTTACAGGGGCATTGGAGGGCGGGGACCACCCTCAGCTGAAGGCAGGAAGGTGGAGCAGGGTATGGCCCCCCACCCTCGACCGGGGGATCTCGCCTCTCACCGTCCCGGCGGCGCCGTCGATGGTCCCGATCCACTTGAAGAGATTGTCGGACTCGGGGAAGGCAGAAATGCCTTTGTCACCGGACATCTGCGGGGGCAGCGCGTCAGCGCGACCCAGGACACCCCGAGATACCCCACCCTAGTTCAGCCCCAGGTGCCTTTGGGACCCCCAACCCCGGGCTTGGTCCCAGGATCCCCAAACCCCGACTCGACCCCGGGGCCCCACTCACCATCAGTGCCATCAGTTCCTGCTGCAGCCTGCGGGGAAATCACACGTTACTGGCCGGTTCCCCGGGGCAGCCCCCGCCCGCAGCCCCGGCC